TAAGGCTGTGATCAGCAAAATTTCCCCAGTGCTTACTTGTAGAGTTACTGCTTCTGAGTGAAGTAACTGTGAATGTGTTTAATTCCCTTTTAAAAGCAGACCAAATTAATACTATCAGTATTTTGACACAATGAATTGTATAAGTTAATTGCTCTGACAAAGTTCTTTTTCACTGTCTTGATTCTACTTCCCATTAACTTGAGTGCCTTTGAGTTCTAATATGGAGAATTATCCACATCCACATTTTGGGCAGTTTTGCCTCACAAACTATCTACTGACAGAGGTCATCATGGTTGTTCCAGTCATTAATCTGGCCACCTGGATCCACACCACAGTAATGTCAAGACTAGACTACTGACAAGAAGATTCGTATGGCAAGGTAAAAAAGCGCGAATAAGATGGAAATTTTTGAAAGATAGAAAAGAAAGAGGAGGATGCGGTATGCCAGACTGGAAGATTTACTATCAAGCAGCAGCAATGGGATGGATACGGGAATGGATACTCTTAGAAGATAAAAAACTACTACAACTAGAGGGCCATGATCTGTATATGGGTTGGCACGCCTACATTTGGTACGATAAGGAAAAAGTGCATAAAAACTTCAATAACCATATTATAAGAGGGGCATTGATTAAGATTTGGAAGAAAATTAAAGAAAAAATGTACAAAGAAGTACCAATGTGGGTGTCACCACTCGAAGCCTTTATATTGCCAGCTTTACTAACAGAGGGAAAAAAAGCAACCTATGAAAAGTTATTAACCAAAGAAAAAGAATTAAAAACATTAGAGAACCTACAAGAAATGAATATAAACTTGACAAGTTGGGAGAGAACAATAATACAATCAAGATTTGCTAAGGACAAAAAAACAAAATTTAATGACACAATGTTAGAACTAGACAAGATTTGGTTGTCCTCGGCAGATAAACAAATACAAAAGCTATACAAACTTTTTCAGAAGGAAAGTATGGAAGATTTAGCGATAAAACCCTGCATGAAAACCTGGGAACAAAATGTAGGCTACACAATAAAAACGCAAGAATGGGAAAAAATGTGGGAAACGAAAAAATTAGTAAGAGCCACACCATACAAAGAGAATATCCTAAAAATGTTTTACAGGTGGCACTGGTCACCGGATAAAATAACAAAATGTTATAAAAATGTCTCGGATACATGCTGGAGATGTAATAATAACGTAGGAACATACTATCATATCTGGTGGAGGTGTGACAAAATAGTAAAATTTTGGAAAATGGTAAAATATTTGATAAAAGAAATTGTAGGAATAGATCTGCAGCTTAAACCGGAAAGTTACTTGCTTAATATCTTGCCAGATATAGTAAATACAGATGATAAATGTATTGTGTTATATATCCTCACGTTAAGCAGAATTCTGATAGCGAAAAAATGGAAATCAGATTTACTACCTAAAAAAGAAGAAATAATGGAAAAAATATTCGAAATAGCAGAAATGGACAGATTAAATATGATATTAGCAGAGAGAGATGATAACGCTTATAAGAAAAGATGGTTTAAAGTGTATAAATGGTTTGAAAAAAATGTATAATGAACACTCCGAAACTGATTTGTACAATGGGAATGTACTTGGATTTTTATTTTTTGTTTGTTTGTTTGTTGGAAAAAGTATAAATAAATTATTTAAATAAAAAAAAAGACTAGACTACTGTAATGCACTGTACATTGGTCTCCCCTCAAAATCAGCTCAAACTCCAGGTGGTCCAGAATGCCAAAGCACAGGTATTAGCAGCTAGACAGAGCATGCTTATTACTTCCATTCTACAGATGCTCCGTTGGCTGCCCATTTGCTACTGAGCTCAGTTTAACATGTTGGCTGTCACATGCAAAGCCCTTCATGGTATTGGCCCCTCTTATTTGCAGGACTGCCTCTCTCCCTATGCTCTGCCATGACAAGTCTGCTCATGTCAGCAGGGGCTTCTGCAGGTGTCAACCTTCAAATGGACAGAATCAACAATGGCCCATACACATGCTTTCTCTGTTGCAGCTCCCGCCTTGGGGGGGGGGGGTGTCAGAAAGGCTCCCACTCTCCGGTCCTTCCGCAAAGTATGCAACACTGAACTATTCAAGAAGGCTTTTCTGAGCAGGTAACAGGGTAGCAACGTACAAAATGGTTCACAAAATTACTTGGATAAATGATTGGGACTTGTGTACACTGTTGTGTATAGCTTATTGTAAGTAGGATGCTATTTCTGTACTGTTTCATGTGTTATGTTAATACTTATGCTATGTTTCAGTTTCTTTCTGGTGGTTCCAAACTTCTAATATCCTAATGCATTGGTTACTCGGTGTCCCATTTTGTTGATTGTACTGACTATGCGTAATCTACCTTGAGTCCCTGTGAGAAAGGCAGACTATATAAATAACAAAGCACAAAATAACCATTTAACCATTCTTTGTAACTGTTTTTTAAACAACCTGCTCCAGCCGGATTTCATAGTTAGGGTTTCTGCCTGTTCAATTATAGGCACTTATGGAAGAAATAGGAGGGAGAACTGATCTCCCAAGAGCAGATACAAATGGAACTTTTGCAGATGAGGAGATTCACAAGTGTCTCATCTATTTACTAGAACCTTAAGAATTAGAAGGGTGTAACTTTTTTTAGGATTGTACTGGCATTTCATAGAGCAAGATTACGAAAACATTTGATATACAGACTAAAAACTGTTTTAAGTTTTTCAAACAGGCAAATATCCACTGCCATATACTAAATAGTGCATATCTTAATTAACATTTTTGCATGATGTGTCTTCAGCATTAATGTTAAATATCTAATGGTACTGCTGGTGGTGTTGGCAAAGCTGGGTTGTAGAGAACAGATTAAGCAGGTGTAGAGCATTTTATTACACTGTTTTATATCTGAATATGTAACTGGCTTTTAAATTTATGTACTTGAGGTTTTGATGACAGGTTAAGCTCAAAATAGAAGTCAAAACATTTCCATAAAAGCCATGGTGCCTCCCAAATCCTTACACTCTACTAAAATTGTCTCACTCATATATACACTAACTTCACTTGGGTTGATTTTCTGTACCAATGTTGGTTACTTTCATAAGAACCCAATGATTAGGCAACTGTAGACAGAGAAGAACCTCAAAATACAGACGTGTATTTTTTCTTCGAGCTTTTTATTGAAAATATAAAATACAACTGAAAGAATATACTGAATCAGAACTCTACAGAACTGTAAAATCCTTTCTACTTTTTCTCAATTAAATTAAAGTGATGTTAATGTTAGAACACCATTAGTACCTGCTTCTTTTACTTAAGAAATGTGATAGGTTAGAATATTAGACATTCAAACATAGTAAGGCCTAGAAAACCGGTGTTACCAAAAGAAGGATTTCTTACAGTGCAATTTTATGCGGAGTTGTCTAGTCTAAGCTAAATGGAATCAATGGGCTTACACATGAGACAGCTCTGCATAGGACTACATTGTCTGCCAAGTCCTTTATAGAAAAAGAAATAGAATAGAAATGTCCTCACATATTTACATGTAATGTTTTGAAATTTCCCTCAAAGATTCAAGTATTTGTTCTCTTGACTCAGCATTTGATAATACATACAGTAGCCTTTTCTCCATATAAATAGTTACATCGGACTGTTTAGCTGATACTACTGTTTATAGTTTACTGTGCCTCTAGAGAAACAAGATTTTGGCAGCATATTGATTTTGGCAGATACATTTTCAGTCATTCTCAAGCACTTGTGAACATCAAACTCTTTTAAAAGTCATCTGTTTTGGGAGCCAGGTCTAAGCAGCAGACACATGCCAAAAGCAGGAACTGTACAACTCTTGATTCTGAATATTGAACTTGAAATGATAACCGTATTTTGCAAGATATTCATTACTGATCAGTATGAATCTGTTGAAGTTAAAAGCTTAAGGTCTTAAGTAAATTTAACTTCCAGTTTCCCAAAAAGCTTAGTGTTTCTTCCCAAATAGTATTTGATACTTGTAAATTAGGAATTATAGTTTAATGTGGCTGCTTCAGTGTAGTTTAATAAGGAGGTAGTAAGTTCTGTTAGGGTTTGACAGTTTTGACTTCCTGGCTCTACAAAGAATATACTGGACCCAATCCATCCACATTATGTAAAATTATAGAACTGCATACACCCATACTATTTTCCTATGTGACAATGCAAATTTTAAAATGCTAAATGTAATACAGACTTTTTCATGTATTGTTTTCCCCCAATATGGGAATCTGTTTTGAAAACCTTGAACACATTCATTACTGTAATACATAAAAGATTTTAATGATTTAAATATTATGGCAAAGAATCTAATTTAGTTTCTGTGCAATATGTTTGACATCAGAATTCTTAAAGTTAACTTGTGATTGGAGTTGTAAGAAGACACTGAGGTAACGTTTTAGATGTACTGAATTCTGAATTTTCAGGCAGGCCAGTTATTGCAGAAATACATAACTTGCCAGAAGCAAAATATAAAATCTTCTTACTAGTGCAACATTATGCAGAATAGTTCCCTTGAGAAATGTTTTTAAGGAAGTTAACATTTGTTAAAACATTTGATATATTAAATATTTATAAGAGGCTCCTTTTTTGCATTTCATGAGCAGTAGCTCAGTCAGTGAACAATACATTTTTTTCCTTCTCCCACCCCACATCAAAAATGGCATGACTAGTTATGAACAGAGCACTCTTGTTCTGAATGAGAAAACTGAGCCTAAATAAATATTTCCTTTAAGAACCAATGAAGTGGCACAAGAAAGCAGTGTGCCAACCCTTGGTCTTCAAGCACCTCCCATTCTCCAAATCTAAGTCAGTGTAAATTCTCTTCATAATATTCCTAATGACAAAACTGGGGAATATTGAGCCAATATGTGAACATCTAATAGTTTTTAGTTAAGAGCTAAGTTCATCTTGCATCTATGAATAGACCAGAAATTAGATTTTGAAAGTTAACAAATTCAAATTTATCAAACATATGTTGATCCTGCATTGTCTCTTTTCAATGTACATGTGCAAATTAAGTTAGCTATTTTAAAACCATATTTTATGGACTTCAAACATAGTTGGCATTAACAAATTGTGCTAAGATATTCATAGTTTTGACTAATCAAAGTTGGTTGACCTTGGCTGATAGGGTTCTTATTTTTGGATTGCTAATATTGATAACAGCTGCACAGGACATTCAATTAGTGACCTCATTAAACATCTCTAATCAAGTTGTTCTCCAAACATGAAAATCCACAAGGAAAACTCAGAACAAGATTATGCAGAGTAGTTCAGAACAGGACTATATGGCATATTTCTGAAGAAAACGATCAAATGCATCATATATGGCTTGCCTAAAATAGAAGATAAACAATCAGTATGAAGGCACAATGATCACATACAGCACTTTGGTCCAAATTCTACTCAGATCTCTGAGAAAAGACTGAATTTAACACTTGGTTTAAGAACCCACAGTTAAGTCTCTGTCAAGAATTCATAAATGATTAGGGCTCAGCATTTATGAAATCACTTAAGTGCCTTCTGAAATTTACTAAACAGATGCCAATTTAGGAATTCAAGGCAGTGTAGAGGCATTACGTTGGGTACCCTTCAACTGCAAGACATCCAGGATGCTAAAGCGCAATTCTGAGCATCCAGAAATAAGGAAATGTGATATGACGGGAGAGGTTTATCAGGGTTTTTTATTTTCACATTTTTAAATTGGCAAGAACACTATGACTTGAATCCTATGAATGAGTTCCATGCATGCTAGATGGCCTCTGCTGCAAAGCAGGTTTCCTCTTTTGCCAGGACTATTGTTTGTGCAAGATCAGCGGTTTTCAATGGGCTGTTGTGCAAACAGAAGTTATAGCAGACAAGGAAGCATGCTCTGCATCCCAGACTAATGCACACAGAACTTGCTCACAGGATCCAAGTCTACCTTTGCTATACACTGATATGCACATTTAATCGTTATGCAGACAGAAACAGTAAGAAGCATTTTGTCTAGTGAGGAAGGGAAAGGTGGTACAGTAATGGGGTACAGTTGTGCGATGTACAATACTGGCTTGCAAACCAAGAGCCATTCTTGGGATCACGCACTCCTTCCTTTCTTCTCTTAACAGCCAGTTCCTTCATGTCTTTCCCTGTTATATGTTGGTTCATTATGGCTTACAGTTACCATTCAGGCACATGTAATCACAATTAATGTTTATCAGGTCCCTCCTAACTATGGTTTGCAAATCTACTACATACCATAGTTTTAAAACTTTGGTTCACAAGATGACCTACAATTAGCGTTATCTATTCTATTGTTTCATTTTTATTGAGCCCTTCTTCCAAAAAACTCAGAGTGGCATCTATGGTTTGCCCTTCCTCTCTGTCACAACCACCCCTGTGAGGTAGGTCGGGCTGAGAGAACAACTGAAAAAAAGGGCAACCAACATGATCAAAGGATTGGAGTACTTTTTCTATAAGGAAAGGGTGAAGAGATTGGTACTATTTTTTCCCCCTGAAATGAAAAGCCCCAGCCAGGGAGGGGGACACAACACAGAGATTTATGCATTGTGTGGCAAAAGTAGTTGTTAGTCATAATGGCTAAATGGAGCCTCGGATTTCAGTGGCCTCAGCCCTCTGATGTCAGCTGCTGGGAAAAAGCAACAAGAAGATGCTTTGACCTTTGTGCCCCTGTTGTGGAGAGGCATTATGTGAAACTCGATGCTTGTCTAGCGGGACCATTGGACAGATCCAGTGAGCCTTTATCGAAAAAAGACAGTTTTAGTTTGTAAGGCACTGCTACAATGGAAAGCTGACATTTATTTTAAAAGGTAAAGGTTTCCCTTGCTCAAAAGCTAGTTGCACCTGACTCTAGGGGGCAATGCTCATCTCCCATTTCCAAGTCAAAGAGCCAGCACTGTCTGAAGACTTCTCCGTGGTCATGCGGCCAGCATGACTAAATGCCAAGGTGCACGGAATGCTGTTACCTTCCCACCAAAGCTGTACCTATTTATCTACTTGCAATTTCTTGCTTTCGAACAGCTAGGTTGGCAGGAGCTGGGGTCAGAGACGGGAGCTCACTCTGTCACGCAGCACTAGGGTCTCAAACTGCCAAACTACAGACCTTCCGGTCTGCAGCTCAGCATCTTACCCACCAACAAATGCAGTTTTGAAGAAGAAGAAGAAGAAGAAGAAGAAATTGGATTTATACCCCACCCTTCACTACCCAAAGGTGTCTCAGAGCGGCTTACAAACTCCTTTCCCTTCCCCTCCCCACAACAGACACCCTGTGAGGTGGGTGGGGCTGAGAGAGCTCTTGACAGAAACTGCTCTTTTTCAAGAACAGCTCTTATCAGAACTATGGCTTGCCCAAGGTCATCCAGCCAGGTGCAAGTGGAGGAGTGGGGAATCAAACCTGGTTCTCCCAGATTAGAGTCCACACACTTAACCACTACACCAAACTGGACATAAAAGCTGTGTTTTATCTTTTTTATTCTGAATTCTTACCTGAACAATCCTTGTTTGAAGAGGTATGCACTAACATGACCTCCTTCCAAATATCTGACTTCACATCCTGGCCATATTTCTTGAAGGCTACGCACTCCAGTTCTTGGAACATAAGCATCCTCCTTGGCTTGAAGAACTATGATCAGTGTCGGATCAACTGGAACTGAGAAGGAAGGTCAATTACTCTTAAATGTCCTTTGAATACAGTTAGACACTGATTAATTATGTAAGGATTTTAAATTAGTTCTTTGGCAAATGATAACTACTTAACACAAACTAAGTGGGTTTTTTACTGCCAAAATTGTACCACCAGTGGGTTACATTAGACTGCATTAAAATTGAAATGAGCAGCAACGAAAAACAGTAATCAGGGAAGAGATTCTGAACATGAAAACAGATTTTCTGGCTCCCATTAACAACCCCCTTACAGTCCAGTTTAAAGATGCTGTTGCACCATCTCCCATGTATGTTAGCACATGAGTTATGGTTTCAGTTTATCTGCTTCTATGCTCTCCATGCATAGTTTGCAAACATTTGGGGTAATATTAATGGTGGCATCTAATCATTAACACATTGCATGTATGTGGCACAGTATTGTCCTTTTTGAAGCCACTACTTTATGGAAGCCATTCATATGCCTAAAGTAAAGGTAAAGGTTCCCTTGCTTGAAAGCCAGTCGAATCCGACTCTAGGGTTGCGGTGCTCATCTCCGTTTCAAAGCCGAAGAGCCAGCACTGTCCAAAGACATTTCCATGGTCATGTGGCCTGCATGACTAAACACCAAGGCGCACGGAACGCTGTTACCTCCCCACTGAAGTGGTGCCTATTTATCTACTTGCAATTTCTTGCTTTTGAACTGCTAGGATGGCAGGAGCTGGAACTAGAGACAGGAGCTCACTCTGTCATGCGGCACACTCAGGTCTCAAACTGCTGAACTACTGACCTTCCACAGCCTACAGTTCAGCGTCTTAACCACTTGAGCCACTGCAACAACCATTTATATGCCTAGACAGGCAAAAAAATGTTATATTCATGCTCTGTGGCTGCAGCAGTGAAAAGAGGGCCTGATACTACTTGCATGGATATGTGTGTCATGTCCTCTATTCTGCCTCTGCTATACTTGCTGTACTGTCTTTGCACACTGAAATTACACCACCCAAACTGCTGCTGCTCCAGCTCTCTCTACAATCTGGTTGTTTGAATAAAGCAACAAACACATTTATGTAGTACCATTGCTGCATAGTGTCAGGTGGGTAACTGTGTTAGACTATAGCAGAAGAACAAAATTCAAGTCCAATAGCACCTTAAACTGGCAAAATGTTCTAGGTTATAAGCGTCTATGAGTCAAAGCTCACTTTGTCAGATACAAATGGATCTTCATTGACATTCGCAGTTTATACCTGGGAAAATTTTGTTTTTCTTTAAGGTGATAATGGACTTGAACTTCATTCAAGCATCAGCATTTGTGGACTAGATACAACGTGGTGGGTACTAACGAAACAGAGATTGATATATTGCGTTAGGAAAGATAAATATAGCCCATTGAACACAACTAGATAAACATAAAAAGACAAATCCATGTTAAGAAATGTGATCATTAGCAAGACGGGTTTACTTCACAAGGCAGACTAAAAAAGGCTGCTCAAAAGATGCAGTAGAGTTAAACATAAATGAATTAAGTAGGAGCCACAACAGAGAAAGAAATACAAAGATCTGTTTTAAAATTAATGTGTACCTGAAAAGTTAGCTACATGGGTACATTCATCCATCACCCCTTTCATAAACCTTAGAGATTCTCTTTGTAAAGTGTCACTTTTCCCACTTATCAGATGCTTCTGCTCATAGGTAAAGTCCTTATTGCTATCGCTGGTGGTTGAAAATGTCTGGTTTATGCACTGCATTTTTGATGCCTCTTTCACTAACAATCCTTCTGCTGAGGCACTTAGAGTACTTTTGCTAGCGCTAAGGCAGCGGCCACCTTCCGAAGATGGAACTTTGCTTCTGGTATCCAAGTTCTGCATACTAGAATTCAGATCCAGGTTGCTTAAGCTGTCCACACTGCTGGGAGAATTTTTAACAAAGTCTTGTCCCATCTTGAATGAATCTGTCTAAACAAAAATAGATGCCTATTCAATTGAGGCACTTTTGAATAGTATTCAGTGTTCTCATAAGTTAACAGTTCAGTTGCTGTCCTGAAAAAAAGTTGCTCTGTTAAGACAGGTGCAACAAGCTAAGATAGTTTTGCCTTCTAAATAAGTTAGATAAGCCCTCATTCTGATTAGATACGGCTGTTTTTTCTGGAGTGCATGCCAATTTCATAGGTATGGTGGTCATTTTTAAATCTTGAACACTCCCATTAAAATCAAATTTAGAGTCCAGTGGCACCTTTAAGTCCAACAAAATTTTATTCGAGGTATGAGCTTTTGTATGCATGCACACTTTTTCAAATACACTGAAAGGAAGGTAAGGTTCAAACTTATAGATGGGATGAACAGCAAATTAACATGTAACTTGATGAAAATGTTTTAAGATATGCAACACAAAATGAAATAACAAGCTAAGGTTATAAGATCAACAGCTGTAAAGCAATAAATACGTCAAAATAAGACTGAGATTTTCCATTCACTTCTCTCAGGCATGGAGATCACTTAACAGCATTTTTTAAAACTTTTTTGAGGTGGGTATAGTGTTGTCAGCCAAATATTACAATATTCCTTGTATTACATTTAGTATTCTAAAATACTATTCTGAAAAAGAAATACACAAAAATATAGAGAATGTATAGTCCCTCTGTATGAGAATACATATGTGAGGACTGGATGAGTTAGCATATGTAATGTGATAAGAAACCAATATCCCTGTTGAGTCCTGGGGAGGTTTTTGTTCCAAGTGTTGTAATAACTTGTAATTCAGCAATTTCCCTTCCCATTCTGTTCCTGAAGTGCCTTTGTAATAAAAAAGCTACCTTGAGGTCACCCACTGAATGTCCTGGAAGGATGAAGTGTTCTCCTACAGGTTTCTCAGTCTTGTGATTCCTGATGTCAGATTTGTGTCCATTTATCCTCTGACATAGGGTTTGTCCTGTTTGTCCTATGTAGAGAACTGAAGGGCATTGTTGACATTTAATGGCATATACAATGATAGAAGATGAGCAAGTGAATAAGCCTCTGATGGTGTAGTTGATGTTGCTAGGTCCAGTGATTGTGTTGTCTGGGTGTATGTGGCATCAACGTTGGCACCTGGGTTTATTGCAAGCTCTGGTCCCAGTGTCCATGTTCAAATTAGATGCTGCATTATTGTGGATGAGTAGTTGTTTGAGACAGGAGGGCTGTCTGTGTGCAAGAAAAGGTTTGTCCCCTAGTACTTGTGAAAGAGAACTGTCATTATCCAGTAGAGGTTGTAAGTCTTTGATGATGCGTTGAACTGTTTTGAGCTGAGAGCTGTATGTAACCACTTTGCTGTTGTTCAGTCACACAGTTAAATCCAAGTGGTGTTCTATTATTGTCTCTTTTGGGCCTGTCTTCTAACAGGTTTTCTCTGGGCATCATTCTGGCTTTGTTAATCTGTTTCCTGACTTCATCATAACTGTTCATCCACTCTATAGTTGTGAACCTTACCTTCCTTCCAATGTATTTGAAAAAGTGTGCGTGCACACAAAAGCTCATACCTCGAATAAAACTTTGTTCATCTTAAAGGTGCCACTGGACTCTAAATTTGATCTACTGCTTCAGACCAACACGGCCGACCACCTGGACCCATTAAAATCACTTTACTTTGGTTTCTCCAAGAATCATTTGCAAGCACTTTAATAGCAAAAATCAAAGTGATTTCTCCCTGTCATTGCTCAGTAGTGAAACTTCCTCATGAATGAACTCCATATTGTCAATTTGTTATTTAACTACCTCTGGGGGAAAAACTAGTTTTCCAGTATTTCAGATCTGACCTCCATGAGCACATTCATTAAAAAAAAAAGATAAAAGTTTCATTACAGAAAATTCCAGGGAGTTCACCTTGTGGTGTCTTCTCCATATCATAAATGATTGTGTTAAATCACAGTAGACCTAGATTAAAAAGCAGAATATTTACAATGTTTAAACATGTGTACCACACAGTACTATACTAACTCCATCTGAAAAGTAAAATGAGACACCTTGGAAAGAGAAATGTTGAAAATAGTTGAGGTCTGTTGAATAGCTTTATTTATTGTGTAACTACTCCATTACATCTGCCCCCATTTCCTACAACTCCAATTCACTTTTTAAAGTACATAACGGATGGAGCAGAGCCAAGAACATAGAACTATTTGACCTTTAATGACATCATGGTACAAAATGTCTAGTTCTACTTAAAATACAAGTCATGTTTCCAGATAAATAGAAAAGATGGCTATGTTCTTCTATTAGATATATACATGATAGGATCTAGAGATTTTTCTATTCTAATATTTAAAGTGCTAATTATGCACACGGTTGTAACTACCTACACCTGGGACAGAAGTCCTAGGTGCTCTATTCTCCTTTAGGTTTAAGAAATTCCTGGTAGCTTAGTTTTGCCAGCAACCATGGCTATAGCAGCCCTCCTCAGCAAACAGCCTGACAGCATGTAGTCATCACTCCTTCCTCCCCTCACTGTAGTAAGTGAAATGGTTTGCGAGATAAGAAAATCAGGCTGTACAAGGAAGAATGCTTTTCCCCCGACACCTTGCACAACTCTTTTCCAGCTGGATGGGATGGAGATGAAAATGATTCTGCATGCCATCTAGATTTCTCTCTCTTGTCCTTCTAAGATATTTCCCTACTTGAAGAGACAGGAGGAGGACAAATGGCAGATGTATCCACATGATACTCTTCTTCCATACTCGCGCCTCTTGAATGGATTTTTCCCCATATACATCCCCCCACCCTTCAGATATCTCACTCAAAAGGAACAAGGCCAAGAGGACTGACATCCAAGACAAACACCAACAAAGCAATAACAAAGGTATGACTGCTAACAAGACATACCAATCAAGCAGGTTTTTAAAAATACATGTAGGGCTATATTTCGGCTATGCTCCTGCAGAGTGCAGGGGGTTGACCTGCAAGGTCCCTTCCAACTCTAACATTCTATGATTCTATGTAAGTTATTTATTATATTATGATTCTATATATGACACAAAGGTGAATTTTATTTTCAACAGAGGTGAATTCAGTTGACCAGTAGGAAAAAAAGATACTAGGTTGGCTCCGATCAGCTTTCCAGCTGATGAAAAAAATGGAGGCTGTGCTGGGGATCACAGGACCTAATGCACAAAAATACATGTACGATGGGGGCTGTAGTATGGGAGATAATTTGGGCAGGATTGAATGAAAAAACGGACAGGATCGAATCCACTAAGTTTTGAAAGGACAACACTGTTTCAGTTCTTTGTTCAGCTCTTGCTTGGGTTAAATAGAACAGGCTCACACCAACATTTCACTTTTTAAAAAGCCTGACAATAATATGTTTGTCACTTCTATTAAGATGCAACTTATTTGCTCTATTTCCTACAGCCTACAAAAAGCCACTAGAAGCTGCCTTATACAGACTACTGGTCTATACAGCACAGTGTTAGCTACTCTTATTGGCAGCAGCTTTGCATGCATAAAGTTCCTGGGTACAGTTGTTGTTGTTCAGTCGCACAGTCGAGTCCGACTCTTCGTGATACTGGGTACAGTATCACATAATAAAAAGCTAACGGAAGCCCGAAGGCACACACAAATTACATAGCGCTGCCTGGATTCATAGCCCCCTTTAGTTAATAACCTGGATGTTGGATTAATGAGGCCCCTTTAGTGAATAACCTGGATTTCAGATGTTCAGTATCTTCATAGCTCAGTGCTACTGAACATACATGGGATGTAGCAGGCCCCAGGTTCCATCCCTGCCAGTTCCACCTTAAGGCAGAAGACTGATGCATTTTGCTGTAGATATGAATACTATCATTTTGTTTATCTACAAATACCCATGTCAAAGAAAATAAATATAACAATTGTATATTATATTGGTCTAAGCATAGGCAAGTAACAAGTTTCTTTTACAAACTGAACATGGTTAATACATATTAAAAACATATTTACCCCACAATATTCAAGCATCTGAATGATTTCTTCTTCATAAACACTGTGACTATAATACTGTTTCTCTAGCTCCCTCCAGTCCACTGCTTTGCTCAGTACACCCTGAAATTAAAGTGCAGTTAACTGTTGCACAACAGCATTATGAAGCCGTGAGACAGAGAACACCTATCAGTTTTCATTATGCTAAAATTTCATTTTGCACTGTTTCCACCAGCTGTCAAAAAGGCTTCCCTTGGAATATCTACAAATAAAAGGCCAGGGTCAAAGAATCATGCAACTACTTCCACATCATCATGGGGTCTTTGGCCTTGTGTTTCTTAAAGACACTGCATAGCAAATTTTTGAAAATGGCCATTATCCCAAACTCTTAGAGGTAGTTTAGAAATATACCACCTCCCAGAATCTAGAATCTGAAAAACTCTGCCCGAATCCCAAGAATACAATCTATTTCTAGTGGATAGTATCACAACCTTCAAAGTAAAATCTGACTTTGATCTTGTACGCCTTGTATACTAGTAATTACAGCTGCAATACCGTAGTAAAAACACCAGAAGCTGTAGACCAGGATAGACAAGGAACTAGGGGCAATGGTTTCGGCCAGTTTGATACTGCTAATGATGCCATCTGTTAAATAGAAGAAAATGATACACACTTTATTAGGACCTTGAAAAAGTTTTTGAAAAGCACGTCATTTCTCACCTATGAGAGAGAAACAGCAGAAATACTTCAACATACTGTAGTACACAGAATCAGAAAAACAAAACACCCTTCCCATATACCACTCATAAGTACAAAAGACTTCTATACAAGTTACTCAAGATACAAACATTTTAAACTGATATTTGTATCCTTGCCTTCTTTGAATCAGCTCAGGGTAACACAGGATTGTCCTATTTATATAACAGTCATGTTTAAGTAGGTTGGGCTGAGTAAGAGTGTGATCGAAGGGATAGTCACTGAATGTAGTGACCCCCTCCACTTGGGTTTTCCTGGTCAAAGTCCAACCTCTTAGCTTTTTCCATTATCTTGTCAATCTCAAACAAAGTTCAAGCATAAGTAATTATTCCTGCCCATCTCATCAATCAACCCCTTTTTATTACTAATAACTATTTGGAGAAACAATTACATGAATGTAAAAATGTACACAATTACACAGAATGTAAAAAGGGGTTGAGCAATGCGACTGCCAGCATACTTTGTGCAATGGGTTGTCAGGCAAAGGCCTGTTACTTCCTAAACGTTGCTTGGTCAAGATGCACAGCAGTGGACCTAGCAAGCAGAGTGCTGGGTTACATTTTATGGAAGACTGCTGCTGCCCTAGTTTCTTGAAGTACCAGGTGCTGCCAGCTGGAAATGAATGCATGAGGGATAAAATGAGAGTTGAGATACAAAGAAAGAACTGATCCCATCTGCATGGGCAGAGTGCACTGCACAGTACCATGATTTGCTTACATCCAGTAAATCAGGCTATATAGAATATATTCCTTTGCACCCTTATTCTCTTCTCAAAGAGGAGACACAAGGAACCACATCTTGACATTCTCTAGAGTTAACATCCTGTTCAACTCTACATATGTAGTTTTGCTCACAGAAATGAAACCTGTGGGAGGGGACAGCAACTGGATAACAAGAATGAAGGGGGGGAAATGGAGGTGAGTCTCATTCGGTCTATGTTTTCTGTTCTTTCAGCCTTGCTAGAAAAAATGCAGCATTTTATATCCACAAGGCTCATCTCTACAGTATCCATGAATGTGTCATTTATTAGAAGTTGCCACTCGGTTGGGGGGGGGCACATTTCAGACAGTGGTTCAAAATGAAATATTAGAGACAGAAAGGATAAATCATCACAGGATAGGTAACATGTACAATACTGAGTGTATATAGACTTCAGTGAGATTGCCTAAAAATAGCTTTAAAGAAATGGTACTGACAGCCATTTGAAATTTAAGAGCAAATTTGGGAGACTGTCTTTTCAGTCTTTAACACACACACACACTGGGTTAGAACCGAAGAACAGTGAACAGAGCTACAATCAAGGAACTTATCACCTGCTGCTGCCATTGTCCTCTAAGTCATATAAAAGTGGCTCCCAAGGACCTGTGGACTCTAAGAAACACCACGGAATGCAGCACAGGGGGGGTTGCGGTACAATTGGCAGAAGTTACAGCCCCACTTAGGGTTGCCAGGTCCCCTCACTGCACTGACAGGGAGATTTGGGGGGCATTCTGGGACATTGCTGATGTGATGATATCACCCGGAAGTGATGCCGTTGCATTGGCGACATCTCGTGGCAACGCCTCTATGGTTTTAGGCCAAATTTATCATAGAGTTCTGCCCTCGAACCACAGTGTCACACACAACATCCCAGACATGATGATATCACTTCTGGATGACATCATTGTGTCGAGGACATTGCGCCCAAGTGTGGCTGTTTGGGGGTGGGGTTTCCCCTGCCGGCCAGCTGGCCGGTGGTAGTCAGAAGCCCCAAAAACTAGGGGAACCCCCCCACTGGGACCTGGGGACTGGCAACCCTAATCCCACTGTAATGCATACTAAATCTGAAAAACACTGTAATGAAGGAATACATACAAAATTCTATTTGAAATTACAAGAAACCTCTTACTGACTATTCTTTAAAGATGCAGTACAAGAACAAGTTGAATTCAAACATATGAAACTAAAGTGCCTGTGCACGTCCTGCACTAGTCCCCTCAACTCTTTCCTGGGTGAGTGAAGATCTGATATCAGGGGGTCCAGTTTAGTAATATGTTCAGTCTCTCCATGCTCCCGGGTGAGAGTAATTCTGATTCTGATAAGTGTATTCAATATAAATGCTCAATTTTGTAATTTTTGTTAAAGCTTTACCATATGATTTCAACCTGTATTCAATATAAATGTATAGAATGTTCAATTTTTATAATTTCTGTTGCAGTTTATGATTACGGCCTGATGAAGGGTCAAAATGGAGATTTACCTGGGACATCTGTTGCCGTGGTTAATACTATGTGTTTAACCTCATATATTATGGTTTAGCTTCATATGTTTGAATTCAACTTGTACTGCATCTTTAAAGAATAGTCAATAAGTTATTTTGTAATTTCAAATAGAATTTTTTGTGTATTCCTTCATTACAGTGTTTTTCAGATTTAGTACACTACACCCACTGTATATCCATTTTTTGTTATACCACTGTTATGCAAGCAGAATGGTCAAAAATCCCATTTTTTTACTGTGCTACATGATGAAATCTCAGGTTGGACCCAAACTAAATTGGCAATTTCCACTGATTCCCCCTTCCTGCTGCAGTCATGTTATTCTTCATGGTCTCCTGTCTTGTAGGGGCAGCATTTCATGAAGATCAGTAGACTGCAATGGGAAGCAAGAGGGTTCCATTCCACTAACGGGACATTTAGCCTGATCCAATCCCTCATTTACACTATTGCTTCCTTAAAAAATAAAGAACCTACAGTAGAAAGCTAATTCAGATTTTTGTTACCATATGCATGCAATACTGAATGGCACAATCATCAATCAGAAATAGAAATAAAGAACAGCTCTTACATGTCCTCCCATTGATATTCCAGTCATTCCTAGGGGTCCATAACCTTCTCTCTCAAGCCAGTGTAAAAGAGCTGCCGATTCTAGCACAAGAGCGCCTCCCATCACAAACAGATCAGACACATTTTTTAGACTTGACCTTCTTTCCTCCCAAGAAAGAAAGGCAAATTTATTTTCCAAACAATGAAACAAACAGTTCCCATTTAACTAAATCTATAAATCATTAACTAAAAATCATTAACTAAACCAGATCATAATCTGGGGAAGGCAACATCTTGACCCTCAGCTATTTCATTTGAGACATATTTTTACAGAGTATGAAATAAATAGAGGAAGCAATACTGTCAGTTAACCCAGGTTAATTAATTGCCTAGATTGACTGGGCCCCTTGATTTATTTATTTTAAGAATTTACATATTCTTCAACCAGAAAACTAGTTCTTAGGACCGTTAACACTAAAAACAATTTAAAATGCCCCCATACCAACAAACCTTAAATCTACCAGTTAAATATCGTAAATAAAAATAGCAGAGTTAAAACTTAGTCACTCTAGTGATATGGAAATGATTCAATGTAAACAGCAGGGCAGTTCACAGAACTATCAATACTTTTTGAACTACTCTTCATTTCTTGATATGCTCCTCATCAAATACTATGTGACAAGAAGCTACAGCATACTGACAATGCAGGAATACATTCTGAAGCAAAACAACTGTAGACTTTGGCCATGAATTTCTGGATAAATTGTGAAATCCATGATTACTGTATGGACAGGATTTCTAATACACTGCTTCGACTTTCAGCAAGTTGTGTGCAATTCACATAGTGTTGATCACAGGATTTATTCTCCAAATAGCATAATAGCTAGCAAAAGTTGCTGTGTTGACACCAGAAGTATTGCTCAGCAACTTCTGAGATGTGATTGATAAACCTGAAACATGCTCAGAAGGTAATAAAGTCCAGTATTCTATGGCTTTGGTTTTAGAGTGATGCTTTGCATGGGGGGGGGGGGGAATGCAGATGTAGATTCTATAAATAAGAATGGCAGTTTCTATATCAGGGATCCCCAACCTTTTTGGGCAACTTTTGAATTTTGACACAGGGTGATGGGCGCAAGCACAAAAACGACATGAGGGAGGCAGAACCAACCATACACACACACACACACAGAAAGAGAGGAAGCCCAATGTAGGGGATTAGATGAGTAAATTTTAAAGATACACTGGGAAAGAGGAGTCAGAAAGAGAATAAAACCCGACACTAGGGGTGTGCAAAAAGAAAAAAATAATTTTTCGGTTAATTTTGGTTGTATTTGACCTGAAAAATCTCAGTATTCCTGCTATTCCCAAATTCCAAACACCACTTTGGTATTCAGATCTGTCCCCCCCCCCCCCGGGTTTCTGAGTTTTTTGGGTCCATTATTTCCTATGGGGAAAGTTTCTGGGTGGTGGGGGAGGGGTGTTTTTAAAGGTACAGAAACCAAAATTGCAGTGGAGCTGCTGGTGCTTGTCCTTTAAATAACCCCCAAGTTTCAAGTGGATTGGATAAGGTCCCCCCACCTGTTATCCACTGTTTCCTACTGGGGGAACCTGCAAGCTGCTTTTAAGACAAAAAGCTACTATCCACAAGTAGCAATCACTGAGAACCAACAGCAAATCCAACAGAACCAAGTAATCCCAGTAGAACCACAAGCCAATGTGACAAGCCAAACAGAACCAAAATCAAACCAGAGAATCTCTGCAGTAGAAATTGAAGGTAAGAGGCATTTTTGCAAGCCCAGCAGTACTACTGCAGAACCACAAGCCAATGTGCCAAGCTAAACAAAACCAAAATAAAACCAGAGAATCTCCACAGTTCTCTGCAGTAGAAGTTGGAGGGGGGCATTTTTGCAAACCCAGTAGAACCAGTTGCAATGTGCAGAACCAGTGCTACTATGGGAGTGCAAATCCAACAGGACTGATGTCAAACCACAGAATCACAGCAAATCTAAATTGGAGGGGATTTTGCAGGCCCTGCAGAACCAACTGCAATGTACAGAATTGCCAAGCAGAACCCAGTGCCACCGTGACAGCACAAGCTCAACAAAACTGATGTCAAAGCACAGAATCACAACAAATCCAAGTGTGTGAGTGGGGGGGATTTTGCAAGCTCAGCAGAACCAATTGCAATGTACAGAATGCCCAGCAGAACCCAGCACTACTGTGGCAGTACAAGCTCAACAGGGCTGATGTCAAACCACAAAATTCTTATAAATCCAAGTGAGTGGTGTTGGTGGTTTGCAAGTGCTACCCAAAAAAACTGCCAAAAGACCACAAAGCAATGCTTATAGAAAAGGTAGGGGAAACTCTTGAAACTGATAGAGGCATTTGAAATTGACAAAAGCAGGCCAGGAAGCCCACAGACTTCAAGATATAGAAACAAAGGGGGGGGGACCAGTCCCTGGGAGCCTGCAAATGCTGGTTCCCAATCTTCCTTGTAAGTCATACTTCTGGGATTTTTTGGGACCAGTTTTTCAGTTTTCCTAAAAATTCCCGGATACATTTGGGATGCTGTATATACCAAAAAATACTGAAAATTCTTTGGGTATACTTTTGGCTCAGATGTATCCGAATGCACACCCCTACCAAACACTGTAGTGACAGCTGTCACTGAAATGTTATTTTAATCTGCACAGCTAATCAGATCTCAAATGGGGAACCAAAAGCCCTACTGGGCAGGATTCCACCTGGCCCCACCCACTTTCTAAAAACACTTGACAAGCACCACAAAGACCTGCTGCAAGCTTTTCTGCCACAGCACTCAAAGCTCCATGTGTGCTAACTGGCTTGTACATTCTCTCTCAAGTGTCTGCCAGAGATATACCTGCTGTGAATCTGTGTCAACAGTACAGACTTGATTGGAACACTGAAGATGCCACTACAGCAGTACTAGCGGCCTGGCTTATATTAACAACATTTCACAAGAGTGGTCACTGTGACATGGAATCTCTACCTGACAGTCTGCATTTACAAATAAGCAAAAAGCAATCCCCTCAGTCTTCCAAACATCAGAGATCTCAAGGGGGAAGGATAGGATCTTATTTCATATCAGTCTGAGCAGAACAGAACCTCTTTCTCTATGTTCTCTGGTGTATTTGTTTATTTAACATATTTATGAACCTGCTTTTCTCCCAAGCATCTCGGAACCCAATGCAGGTAACTATATCAAAAGCAGTATAAAAACAATTGCATAAAAAGTAAATAATAATATTAAGAACATCTTATGCCCTCCTTTGCACAGGCTGTCCCCAAAGCTGGAATAACTGTATATTGCTGTCTCACTGGAAAGCCAGGAGAGAAGGTTTCCCCACCCCACCCCGACTTTTTCCACAAGCACTGGACAGTCAGATAGGAACATCAAGGGTAAAGTAGTTCTTCAAGTACATGAGCCCTAGATCATGCTTTAAATGTGAACACTAACACCTTGAATTGGACCTGGAAACAGCAACAAGTGAAGTGAAGGGACCTCAATAGGAGTGCCATAGTCTTGTCAACTAATACCTGATAACCAACAGGCTGCCTCATTTTGCGCCAGCTGCAGTACTCAGATAGTGTTCAAGGGAAGCCCATGTACAGCATATTAAATCTAATCTCAAGGTTATAGAAGCATGGACCAGTGTAGCAGATTGGATGTCAGCTTCTTAACTTAATCCAGCCAGAAAAATATATTCTTAACTGCTATGGATACTTGTTTCTCCAACAAGAGAAAAGGATCCCACAAGACTCCAAAGCTCTTAAGAAAGACTTTCAGCGAAAGACACACACTATTTATGGTAGGAAGCACAATACCATTGACAGCTGTGGCCCTTACATCAGCTCTGTTTTACCAGGAGCTTCCCACAAAATTGGATAACCATTCAGAACTGGCAAGAATCTCTCACCATTTTAAGTACCTCATATTATAGCTCAGCACAAGCCCTCTCCCCAAGTTTCATGTTAGGCTATAACCCTCTCTCCAAAACTGACTGGACAGGCAGAATAATGCACTTCATGGCTGGCTGGAAAATATTCTGAAGTGCTGAGAATGTCCTTCCATGTTTTTAAGGGCCTCCAAAACATGATATGAAGTGACCCCCCCTCCCATTCCAGTAGACTAGGGAAACAATCAATTTCACTGGGATGACTGACATACTCTGAAGTGGTGAGAATCTCTCACCATTTGTGTTATATAATTTTAACTTTTGTGCAATTTTAAGTTACCATTGTATCCAAAAAGAGATTTAATTTGTACAATTTTAAGAAGATTATGTGTTCTCTGAAATTTGTGTTGCATAAAAGAGAAAGGAGATAACACAATGAACAAAATGTGATGCATGTATAATACTTACAACTGATCCTTAGGCTTTCTGCATCCATGTATAAATAAGAGTTAAAGAAATTAACATAAAATGTATGTGTGCCTCAGGCTTAAAGGTTAATTGATTTTTTTAAAACATCGATTTAAAGGGTGGAATCCAACCAGCTTTTTTGCTCACTCTTGCCAAGTTCTCCTCCTTACTATAGTTCCTTTCCCTCCCACAAGTTTTTTCTTTATGTAGGTCTCATGCTCCATAGCACAGCCTTTTGGTGAGCTCAAAGGGGACCCCTCCAGGTTTCAAAAGCAGAAGAGCCCATTGGATCCCATCCAAAGTTTAACAAAGGCATACACTGAAATACTCAAATGTACAGCCAAAATGAACAAACAAGCAAATAACCCAGTGCTTAATTCACAGAAAGCTAATCTAAAAATACAGAAAGGACTAAATCTAATCCCCTTCACTTCAATATCCACATTAAAAAATGAATCACATTAATCCACAGTGTACAAACATTTGTCGCAAAGGAACGAGCACCTATCTTAAATATAGTTTGAACATGTGAATTGATCTCAAAACATGATAAAATACAAACTGCTAGCTAAATCATTCCAAATATACATTCAGACATTTACTTGGTCCAGTGAAGGAATACTATTGATTAATAAAAACCTCATCAAGTAGTTCCAAATTCAGTAACAGAATATATAACATGGATTAGATTTATTTTGTTCATATTTTAAGATTAGTCTTCTGTGAGTTAAGTAAGAAACAAAGGAGTTATTTTAATGGTGAATTACTAATTTTGACATTCACTGTATGAAATTACGTTCAGCAGATCAATGTTTAAAGCAATAATTTCACAAAACATACAAAAATTGAAGCCAACCACCAGGAGTTTAACATTGACCCACAGCAAACTTAGAAAAAAATGAATTGTCTTAAGGGGAGGATATCTGCATCAATCTGTATACCTAATTTAAGAAAATAGGTGAGCAATATTTCAGAAAAACTAAAAGTGTTGCAAAACTGTGGTTTCAAAGTTTACAGTTTCTCCTAAAGAAAGTGGTACATTATGTAAGCAAAATTTTTGAAATAAATCAAACAGAACAAATATGACATGTAGGACACCCAAGTTCACATGTAATCCTTCACAGAATCACTTTGTCATCTAGCAACTCATTAAACAGACAACCTTCAATTTTATCTAAAATGGATTATGTAAGAATTGCCTTGCAGTTTTGCAATTAATCTAGTTGTTAAAACTTAAGTTCCAAAGGAATGTCCATACACTTAAAGGTCTAAGAGATTCTATCCTACTGCTACAACCAAAGTACAAATCAGCTTCCAAAAATTTAGATGCTTTGGGAGGTTGCCATAAAAGCTGTCCAATGCTACTAATGCTCTTAATTTAAAGGATAATTCAGTCAATTTCTAGTCTGTATACTTGTACAGGAAGCAATGAATACCATGTTTCATACACTTCCTGGCATCATTATCATATAGCCAAATATTTCACCATATTAACACTTGAAGTAAAGGTGGATGACATCATTATCTTTCTTCTCTGGATTTGCAGTTTATAAAGTGTCCATTTTTTGGTTTGAACAAAAGGATATAATAAGGATTCTCTAGTAGCAATGAAGCCATACAAGCCTCTTTGATCATTGGCCGGGCCATTAAAGTGCGTCGTCTCCAGAAGTACTAAAAAAGGCAGAGTTTTAACTAGGATAAATGAAATTACATCCACATTATAGGTTTAAAAAGGTAATATTAAACACTGTGTGCTTACATGGTCTCCAGTCCCTGCTAAATGAACACATACAGGTTTGTGCTTGCTGTTCCACCGCTTCGGTACTATAAACTGAAACCTGTCAATGAGAAGGAAGCCATTTAAAAATCCTACCTACAGAAGATACAACTGGTAGGCTAGTGTGAAGGAAAAAAGTATTTTCTTAATGTACTGGACTAGCTGCCAGTGTTGTGATAATGCATTTTACCCCCCCCCCCCCAAAAAAAAGATTCCAGTTATAAACAAGGAGGAAAGCAACAACGTGAGGGGCCATGCACATTATTTCTCTAGTACACCAAGTTATTGAAGGTGGAGAAAAAAGCCCTTGTATGAACAAAAGCTAGTTTGGTGTAGTGGTTAAGTGCGTGGACTCTAATCTGGGAGAACCAGGTTTGATTCCCCACTCCTCCACTTGCACCTGCTGGATGACCTTGGGCAAGCCATAGTTCTGATAAGAGCTGTCCTTGAAAAAGAGCAGTTTCTGTCAGAGCTCTCTCAGCCCCACCTACCTCACAGGGTGTCTGTTGTGGGGAGGGGAAGGGAAAGGATTTTGTAAGCCACTCTGAGACTCCTTTGAGTAGTGAAGGGCGGGGTATAAATCCAATCTCTTCTTATTATTATTTATCTAAACATTATGTGTATCCAATAACAAAACCCACCATACCAATATATATAACATGTATGTTGTATGAATGCAAGGAAGAGGAGGGTAGAGGAGAGGATGGATGAATAGATTTTACAAACAATAAAATACATATGTAAGCAACAGATCAACCAGAGCCTGCTAATGAGGGGGAGGGGCCCACAAGAGCAGGGGAGGCATTTAACAGAGGAGGGAGAACAGCTGGGAGCCGGACAGACGGAACTTGGGAGGAAGAGGGACGATGCAGGGGAGAGAGAGGAGAGAATGCAGCTTGGATGAAGAGACGCTGGCGGAGGCCAGAGAGGGACTGAGACGGCAAACAGATAACAACAGACGCTGGGGAAGGGCCTCTCTCCAGCATCAGAGGACAAAAGGCAAAGCAGCCAGGAGGGGAATGTTCCACTCAGAACAGCCATTCTGGAAGCCAACCCAACAGGAGTGGTAGAGCTCCAGAAGACCCTCCCCGCAAGCTTCCCAGGACTCAGGTTGGACTTGAAGGGGGAAGGGCCCGCCCAAGGCTGCAGGCGTCACTCTGGAGAGGCAGAGACAGGACTGGGCACTGTAAAGGGGTTGGGTGAGGGAGCACTGGGGATAAGAAATAAAGAAGAGACACATAGCTGGTGATGACCCTTGTCGCTGGATGCTGTAGGGACTTCCCACAGCTCCTCTAGGGCTGAAGCCATTAATCTCTTACAACATAATTGCAGATGTTTAAAACATTTCAGTGTTGTATCAGGGATAGGCTTTTTCTTTAGAGGGCATTGTACATTTGTCCATCCACTTTATTAACTTCCCTTCTGCTTCAATGACAAAATTACTTAAGTCAGTCATAACCCACCCCAAAAAGCCAAAAATCTAATGTTCCAGCACTGTTGCAATAAAGTGAATGTTCTTTACAGAGAAGGACTATAAGCTAAAGTATAATATTAACAATGTTAAACTAGTTCACACAATACATTTTTCTCCACATGAAACACACCGTTCTTCGGGTACAAGTTTACACAGACACATGTACCATTTTGAAACAGGTGACCAGAGAGGTAGTAGGCAGTTCTCAAGAGTGCCCTGACAGAACTGCTTCCAGCCATGAACTAATTCTAATGCCACATTTCTCCAGTCAAGTACTAATTTAGGATACTTGGTACATGTATGCAAAGAACGCATGATCCCCAAGTTCCAGAGTGCCCTTTAAGGCATAAATGAAATTAGCTAGTTTATGGTATGGAAAAGTAATGCAAGCAATACTGTGATCAGACACATCACTTGAAGTCAAGCATAGATTATATCAGCAGTTTCCAGTATGATTTTATGCGGACAAATTCCTACTGGTGAATCTTTTTACCTAAACTTCTCTGTATCGCCTTTTCAGTATCGCCTTTTCAACAGTGTTTAAAAAAACAACTAATCTCACTTTGTCATTACTTTAATAACTGAGGGTACATATTCATCTTTACCTTGCTGTAATGGTTTCCATTGGCATGATATCTGGAACATAATGAGCCAAGGGTGAAATAAAGTGTCCATTAAGGATCTTGCAATCTGATTGCTCTTCAACCTACACAAACAACATTGCATTTTAGCCATTTGTCAAATACTATTAAAAATAGCAATGGGTGCATCTATTTATAGCACATATTCCACCCTCTTCAAGAAGACTCAAGGTTTGTTGTTGTTCAGTCGCACAGTCGAGTCCGACTCTTCGCGACCCCATGGACAAGATCACACCAGGCCCAAGGTAGATCACAGTTAAATATCACCACAGACTTTTGCATGAAATTTCTGGCTGATATTGATGTAAATTATTTGATTCCTGGAGATATACATAGATAATGCAAAAAGAAAACGTAGTTTATAAGTAGTTCTTTAGTTCCTCCTATGGTGCTTTACTTCAAATGGAAATACCAAGAAAAATCAGAAAAACATAGAAGTCCCTTAAGCATAGTTCTATTAATTGTGTTTTCACTCTTTATATTTGCTTTTGATTTAAGCCACAGAGATACAAGAACAGGATCTATTTTAAATATGTACTGTGAGACTAGCAGACAGAGCAATAATTTGATTTCAATATGTTATAACCAGCAGAAGTAAGATTAGTTCTATTTGATATGATAGAAGCAATTAGGTATATTGTTTAATTCTATTTGATATGATAGAAGCAATTAGGTATATTGTTTAATGTTTAGCAGCCTACTCTCCCTGCAAAGGCCTCTGATATACCGTAGGCCAAATTAAACCTGCAAGACTGCAGGCTGGGATGTAAGCTTGCCTCCGGCTATAATTGCTGTTCAGTTATTCTAATAGGCCTCAGAGTAGAGCTGAATAGAAGATTTAAAAAGAAAGGAGTATAAGTTTGAAAATGAAAGTATTTGTGTAGCTTCAATTGCCCCTTCTTCATATACCTTTGGTGAGAGATTTATGATTTTAAAACTCAATGTCAAAGGAAAGAGATGGGCCCTACATCCTTTGGTGAGTGTATCCATGTTGTGATAACAGGCTCCAAGGAGTCTGATTGAGGCCTAGGGCTACTGAGGGATTCACACCTCTTATCTAGGATGTTCCGTTTTGCCTATACATGAGGAGTCCTTGTTAATTTCCAGAAAAGACCTCTGTGTCCCTTGTAAAATAAGGAATTGCAATGTAATTGTAATTGCAATGCAATTGTAATGTAACCTCAAATTGGGGTTGACCAACAGATTTGTGCCAATTCAAATGATGCACCTCTACCTGTAACCAATGGGGTCTTCTGTGTATCATTACATGCACCTATGTAATTTTGCATATATAATCCTCTGCCTTTTCAGTTTGAGGCAGAGAGCAGCTTGGTTTTGTAGCAAGCTGCAGACTGTACATTTCTAAAGATGGTGTGTCTGATGCTGGACAATGCAGTGTACCCAACTACCACTTCCTTAACAACACCTGAAATACTCTTTGTTTGAACCATTAGTGTGTGGGGGGGGGTTTGGGGGGGTTGAGTGGGATCCACTTCTTAACTCACTCTTTTTTGGGTTTCCGCTGCTGGTGGTGGCAAAGAAACAAGTGGCAACCGACATAAGCAATGTTCGTCATTTCTCACACCCCCAGAGGCTGGGAGCGAGCTGAGACCAAATGAATGAACATGGGTTCATTGGGGCAAAAGAGAATGCACAAAATACTCACCCAAAAAACTAACAACCTCAGAATGAAAACTTTAAGCCGCAATTATTTTCATTAATTTTTAAATACCTTGTTAACATGCACTGGATAGTCTCTTGAAACCAAAGTCTGGCATTTTTCCCTGTTTCCAATAATCTTTCTGAATTCAAATATTCTGTTAAGAAATAAAACAGGAATTCTTTAAGTTTTCAGAATACATTTGATTTTTTAAAATTTCCATCACATGTGCTTATAAAGAACTGTGGTATTAATTTACTTTCACTACCTTTTCAGATCTTCTGGTCTTCCCCATCCTTGAATGAAAAGTTTAGTAAGAAGAAGGCGTCTGTATAAAACATCTAGCTTGCTCACACCCATTAGCAAAACTCATCTGGAAAAAGAACAGAAGCAATCACATTTTCAGATGAAAAAATACTGCAATTTTTAATCTCATGAGTAACTATAGAAGTATAACTACTTACAACTTCAATGAAAGCAAAGGTGCAGTCATAACGAAATACATGGAAATGTCATTTAAACAGTGGTCTTTAATATTTCCATATTAACATTTAATATTCGCTGGATTATGGAGAAAGCAAGAGAGTACCAGAAAAATATCTACTTCTGCTTCATTGACTATGCTAAAGCTTTTGACTGTGTGGATCACAACAAACTATGGCAGGTCCTTAAAGAGATGGGAGTACCAGACCACCTCACATGTCTCTTGAGAAACCTGTATAAGGGCCAAGAAGCGACAGTTAGAACCGGATATGGAACAACTGATTGGTTCAGCATAGGAAAAGGAGTACGACAAGGATGTATATTGTCGCCTTGCTTATTTAATATATATGCAGAGTACATCATGCGAAATGCTGGCCTGGATGAATCACAAGCGGGAATTAAGATTGCTGGGGAAAAGATCAACAACCTCAGATATGCAGATGATACCACTCTAATGGCTGAAAGTGAAAAGGATCTAAAGAGCCTCTTGCTCAGAGTAAAAGAGGAGAGCGCAAAAGTGGGCTTGAAGCTCAACATCAAAAAAACTAAGATCATGGCATCCGGCCCCATCACTCCTTGGCAAATAGAAGGGGAAGTCGTGGAAGTAGTGACAGACTTCACGTTCCTGGGATCCCAGATCACCGCAGACTGTGACTGCAGCCATGAAATTAAAAGACGCCTGCTCCTTGGGAGGAAAGCGATGGCGAACCTAAACAGCATGATAAAAAGTAGAGACATCACCCTGCCAACAAAAGTCCGCATGGTCAAAGCAATGGTATTCCCAGTAGTCATGTATGGCTGTGAGAGTTGGACTATAAGGAAGGCCGAGCGCCGAAGAATAGATTCTTTTGAACTATGGTGCTGGAGAAGACTCTTGAGAGTCCCTTGGACTGCAAGAAGAACAAATCAGTCAATCCTCAAAGAAATCAACCCTGACTGTTCCCTGGAAGGCCAGATAATGAAACTGAAGCTCAAATACTTTGGCCACCAAATGAGAAGGGAGCACTCACTGGAAAAGACCCTGATGCTGGGAAAGATTGAAGGTCAAAGAAGACGGGGACGGCAAAGGATGAGATGGTTAGACAGTGTCAGCGATGCAACGAACATGAAATTGAGCCAACTTCGGAGGACGGCGGAAGACAGGAGAGCCTGGCGGGAGATTGTCCATGGGGTCGCGAAGAGTCGGACTCGACTGTGCGACTGAACAACAATATTTCCAGGCCTAGAACCCATCTTTAACCTGCCGGGAGCAGGATGTGCTCACTGAGCTACAGGCATGACATGAGCATCACATGACGGGAAGAAGAGTCAGCATCATGATCTTAGGATTTCTGACCATTACCACCTACCTATTCCACTATACCTATTCCTACCGTTACCACCTACCTATTCCATGTCTGACTTTATTCAGCTAGTAGTGGGGAGCTTAATTAGATTACCACTAACTAAATCACTGGTAATCTAATTAAGAGCCAGCAGGGTCCTTGCTCTGCAAACAGTTGCATATTTTGTTATCTTTGTATGTTTTCGTTATCTTTGTATGCTTTTGTTAAAGTTGTAAAATTTGATGATATAAAAAAGGTTAAAAAATACTCCACATGCAATATTGTTGAAAGTATTTGTGAGTAAATGTAACACAAGTCAGCAGTATTATCCCCATAGTACAGATTAAAGACAGAGGCTGAGATGGTGAGTGACTTGAATTGGAGACTTCTTCTTTACAGCTCAAAGTCCTCAGCAAACATCACACTACATTCTCTTGTGTAACTGTCATCACAGTCACATCTAAAAAGAAATCCTTCTTCCTTGCCAATTCTTTTTCATCCTGCTGTTCGATATTTTGTTAGGGTGGACAAAGAGATGGTTAAAGAGAGTAATACATGCTGTTGTATGTCACATACCATACCATTACAGAGCCACCTAATTTTAGTAAGTGAATCCCTCCACTGGAAAAATTCCAAGAGTTTCAAGTATTGCAGAAGGGGGGGAAAGAATCTGCACTATGTAATGATGGAAGAACCTACAAAGACGTCTTTGTTTTTTAAAGTAAGGGGACAGTTTGTCTTAGTCTGAGTGAGGAAAAAGTGTTTATAAACTCAATTCCAGCTTTCATTCTTAGAACTTTTAACAGACTTACTACTTTCTACTACCAATTCAACCTTTGTCCTGTCAAGTGAGTCACAGCTATGGCTTGCTAAGACCCTTCTGCTTTCAAGGACTGCTTCTCCCTGTTTGTGATCTTCTTTCCAAAAACATATTGGTTGCACCCTCTACAAGGTTGGCACAGCTTGCCAGTACAGCACGCCCCTTCCTGTTGGAAAGAATGCCTGGGACAGACTGGTAATATCCCATCATTACAGGCCTTCAAATGGTTAAAATGTTCCTGTTCCAATGAGCAATTTTATGAATTGTGTTGTTCAACAATTTCAGTATACTGGCTGTACTGTTGTATTTATACTGGAGAGACTGAAGAACTACATAGTATGGTCTATTGACGGCCTAGGCCTCTTATGTATTTTAAAAACATCTATAGTGTTCCTTTTCTCATAAGGAAATAAAGGACTGCATCTTAGCAGGGAAGTTATTTTGGAAACTGCAGTGGACTTCGTACAATTTCAAATTTACTTCTTCTTTAAATGATGTTTAAGGAAGAAACTGACTTTTTGCTGAATTATTGCATAAGTTTATGGTTAGTTTAGTTCTACAATGAAAACTGAAAACAATATATGCATAATATCCAAAGACCAAGAAGCTCATATACTTATGAAACACACCACTGTACATAAACCTCTGATTGTATGAGCTATTTTTAAAATATGATAAATATTAATATTGATTTGCTCACATCTTGTCATTAGTCTACAAGCTCAATATTATGAGTAAACAGATGCATTTTGCCATAGGCAACACAGATTTCTCCCCACAGAAAGCTTTAGTATGGGCTTCCGGTTTTGGTTCCCTCAATGGTGGTCGTGTTCTCCCGGAGCCCCGGGAGACGTGTGCCTTGAATCAGCGAATGGGAGGGGGTGGGATGGTACGCATCCCCCCCAGAGCCCTTGCGTTGGGCTCCTAGCCATGGGGCACTTGGAGGGCCCTTCCTCCAGCAAACGGCCGGCGAAGGGAGGCCGATCCCTGCCCCGATGGTCCCGCTGCTGATTTCCAGGAATGGACGCGGGGACGCACACCGGGACAAGCACTTGGTGGCCGGGCGAGTTAATCGTGAAAGGCGAGCTCTACACTGTAATGTGAGTGATTGTATAAGCGAAGATATCAGAAAGTAAGCTGAAAGCCTCCCCTTAACAGAATGGGGGGGGGAACTCCCCCTCGAAAAGAAAAAATGAACTGTTAAACAAAGTTATAAGGGGGGGGGCGATTATAAAATGGAATTACACTATAATAAGGAACTTTTGAGAACTTACCAAGCGGTATCAAAGGATCTTGAGACTTTTGTAACTTCTTCTAAAAAGTAAACAACCCTCAAACGTGGCACCTCCAAGGAGGGAGGAGAAGGATAAGCAACCGAAACTGAAGTTCCCTGCTGTAAATACCAGTCCAGCGAGTTCTGTTCCTAGACAGCACACTACCATAGACTTCCAAAGTATGCTGACAGGCTCTGCACCCTCTGCTGGAACAAATGACATCGCTCCATAAGAAGTTCAATGCACAACAAAGCCAATTGAATAAAACTACCAAAAAGACAGAGAAAATGGAGCAAGAGCTCAAAGAAGTGGATGCCAACACCCAGAAGCTTAAAAAACAAATGCAGGTGATAGAAAAAAAGAGAGCAACTGATGAGGCTCAACTTTTACAGCTGCAAATGGAAAAGGCAAGCTATGTCTTAAGTTTCCAGGGGGTCTCTGAAGCAAAAGGAGAAGACTTGAAACAAATTATGTGCGATGCATAGGGTCCGGTTGCAGATTTAAAAGTGGATTTTTTACAAAACGGAATAGATACGATCTATAGGTCATATTCTGACTACATAAGAAAGAATAATCTGCCCGGCGATATTGTGGTGAGATTCTCCAGGAGACAAGTAAGAGACCAAATATTGAAAGCAACAAGTGGAGCCATCCTGAAAATCAAAGACAAAGAAATAAGAGTTTTGAAGGACATTCCATTTTAAGTAAGGAAAAAGAGAAAGAAATTCAGAGACCTGGCGCTGTTCTTACAGAAAAATAATGTCCCCTACAGATGGAGTGTTCCAGAACGCATGCTCTTCAAATTTAAAGACAAGAAAGAAAAATTTGACTCTGTTGTAAAGGTACGTGAATTTCCACATCAACATGCTGGTCCAGCAGGTGAAGAGGATAAAGATGAAAATGGCAGCAGCAAGGGAAGAAGAAGGAGCACTGGCACCTTCTGATGAGCACTCAGTTTCTGAACTTGGGCGGCTGCCCCTAAACTAAGCTATAGAGAAACAAAAAGGATAAAAAATGAGTTGTAAGCATTGTGTATGACCACCATCTCTTGGGTTTTTAGTGGTTTTTCTTTACTTTCACCTGTAGTTTGTAGTTACCTTTCCTTGTTTCTTTGTAGTTTATAGAAAATGCAATTAAAAATCCCCTATGGGGGGACAAAAAAAGAAGCTTCAGTATGCTACAAGACTTGAGTTCTTGTTTTAAAGATACATTATTGAAGAGTTCATATATAAAGGATTTGAAATATCCAAGGAATATGAGAATGTACAGAAATAGTAATTCAGGCACCTGTACAAGTATTAGAATACACCTGTGTAACAAAACAAGAAAAGAAAGGTTTTAAAAAAAAAATCTTAGCTAACAAATTAACATTTCTCACTCTCAGTCACTCACTATGTTGATACACACACTAGGCAAAGTGATCTCATCCACTAACCCCTATGTTCATCCCCCCTACATACGGACACAGTAC